CCCCCCCCCCCCCCCCCCCCCCCCTCTCTCTCACTCTTTTTGTCCCTGCCTGTCTGTGTCTCCCCCCCCGCCTCGTCATACCTGCATAGCGCAGGCGCGAACGCCGGTCGCCTCGTCCTCACACAGGGCTACCTTGAGCAGCATGGGGCTGTGCCTCACGGCCGCCGCCTCCCCGAGGAGGCAGTACTTGCCGAGGGTCTGCACCGCTTGCTCTCGGAGGGTAGGGCCGAAGTATTGGAGGTCCGGGATCAACGTCGGAAGCACCTCGGCGGTCCACTGCCGAACCGGGGCATGCATGCAAGGAGGTGCGTTGTGGCGTGGTGCCGAATGCCATGCTCGGGTTGTCGCAGAACACAAGAGGGATGCATGAATAGAACTGAACACGCACACACAGGAGCGAGAGGCATACACACACAAACAACAGATCACACCGGTGTTGGAGAGAGTGCGGGTCACAACCCACTACACACACACCTGTCACCATCCATCGCCACATAACCGGTTCAGCCGACCAACTGACGCCGGTTACACGCCGATCAACCACCTGTTCTAGCTCTACCTCTTGCAACCAGGGTTCCGCGTGTGCACGGCTCGCTACTGCTGTTTCCGTCGCTGCTACGCCCAACCTTGAAGACGTCCATGATGACATCCTCGAAGGCTGTGAGGGTCGCATCCCTCGCGAGAGTCCGCTTGGTCTTGGAGAGAAGAACCGATAGGATGTCAAGGCTGTCGCAATTAATTTTTTTTCGAGACACCGGGGGGTGGGACGGACGGCAAGGGTCAGAACAGCCACCAATCGAAGACTTCATACAAGGAAATCATGCACAACAACATCTTGTTGTGGTCAACCTGAAAAACAACCATTAATACCCCAGCGCCTCTCGGCACTGCTTCCTTAGCGTCGACATAGTGCAATAGCAAAGGCGGTCGCGACTAGCCACAATCAGGGAGCCCGGCCGATGACCACGCTGCCGGAACACATCTAGACTACTATACTCCTCAGCCTCAACCGCAAAGGGAAGGACAAGAAGGGATGTGGAGGGCAAAACCCGTTGCGATAACAATGGCACGACGCAGAGCGGACAGACTAGCATCGAGCAGAGGGCGGCCAAAACAAGCTCAACGCACAGCAGCACCAGCAGCAACAGAAATAAAATCTCCCTGTTTAGAGACGATGCCCGGTATAGTGCCGGTCAAGTCTCCCGGCACAGAGTGCCCACTTCTATGCTAAAGCCTATGTATCCCTGTTCTGAATAGTGCCGGTACAGCAGTGGCGGTGAAGTTTTCTGGATACAAATAGACACCTCTCTACTGCAGCAGAAACGGCACGCACATGCGGAACAAGCGGCGCATGTCCTGTTCACTGTCTCCGGCGGGAGCGACAGGGGTCGATTCCTTCTCTTCCAAACCGGCGGTGGCCTGACGGAGGGCGTCTCCGTTGCTCTCTCCTTCGCCCTCGGCGCCACTGTGGTGGGACAGGGCATCCATGAACTCGTCCTCTGCGTCGTGGCGCATGAAGGGGAAAACAGAACGTCGTGGGTTCGATGACCCGGGGCATAATCTCCTAGCACCCAACCGCTGCGTGTGTTTTCATCGCTTGGTGGCGTGTTCCTACAACAAGCCAATACCCCCGAAAACAGCAGCTACCCTCGCCTAAGAATCGCACGCCGACACAAAAAAATCACATCTTTCTCTCAGCCTGGAACACATCCAACTGCTGTCGGCACTCCGAAAAAATGGACAAAGAAAAAGTCTTGCTCCCCGCCTACCCTACGCCATTTCCAAAACCAACACCACCCCCACACACCCCTCCCCCTTCACCTGACGATGGGGGATCAGCCCTCTTGCTGCCGCCGCCGCTGGACTCGACGGCCTTCCCGCCCTCCTCGCTCATGCACGCCATTGGCGCGATGCCCTCGATCGCGCGAGCCCTGTCCTTGACGAAATTCTTCGGGATGGCGGCTCGGACGGCCGACCTCATGGACGCAAAAGACCGGTTGGGGGTGCCGTCGCCGACGTCCCCAAGGCCCTCCATGATTGACGCGAACGACGCATTCAGGGAGACGTTTTGGGTGGAAACGTCGTTGGTCTGGTGATAGCGGGGGGGGCGGGGGGGGGGGGGGGG